TTTCATTGGTTTACCTGTTTCTCTCTCTCTCTCTCTCTCTCTCTCTCTCTTTTTTTTTTTTTTTTTTGGTGGTGCTAGGGATTGAACCGAGGACCTTGAGGCATGCAAGGCAAGTACTCTACCAACTGAACTATATCCCCAGCCCAGTTTAGCTGTCTCTTTTTTTCTATTGATGTGATAAATTACATTTATTGATTTCCGTATGTTGAACCAACCTTGCATCCCTGCGATGAATCCCTCTTGATTGTGGTGCATGATCTTTTTGATATGTTTTTGTATTCTATTTGCCAGAATTTTATTGAGAATTTGTACATCTATGTTCATTAGAGATACTGGTCTGAAGTTTTCTTTTTTTCTTGTTTTTATGTATCTTTGCCTGGTTTTGGAATCAGGGTGATATTGGCCTCATAGAATGAATTTGGAAGTGCTCCCTCTTTTCTTTCTTGAAATAAATCGTGCTGTTTTAGTTAGTATAGCTCTGTAGTATAATTTGAAATTGGGTATTGTGATTCCTCCACCATTGCTTTTTTTTTTTTTGCTCAGAATTGCTTTGACTATTTTGGGTCTTTTGTTCTACATAAATTTTAGGTCAGTTTTTCCCTAGTTCTGTGAAGAATATTATTGGTATTTGGTGGGGATTGTATTGAATCTGTAGAATGCTTTTGGTAGTATGGCCATTTTAACAATGTTGATTTGCCTATCCATAAACATGGGAGGGCTTTCCATATTCTAGTATCTTCTGTTGTTTTAAGTGTTCCGTAATTTTCCTTGTAGAGGTCTTTCACATCTTTGGTTAGATTTATTCCTAGTTTCTTACTTTTTTTTTTTTTTAAGCTATTGTAAATAGACTTGTTTTCCAGATTTGTTCTCAATGGGTTCATTGTCAGATCCTAGAAGTCTTCTGGTAGAACTTTTAGGATGTTCTAAATATAGGAACATATTATCTGCAAATAGGGATAATTTGACTTCTTTCTTTCCCAGTTATATCCCTTTTATTTATTTTTCATTTGACTAATTTCTCTGGCTAAAATTTAAAGTACTATATGGAGTAAGAGTGGTGAGAATGGACATCTTTKTCTTATTCCTGATTTAAGAGGAAATGCTTTCAGTTTTTCCCTATGTGTTTAACATTTTGAGGAATTGCCCAGTTGTTTTCCATAGTGGCTTCACCATTTTACTTTCCCACCAGTATGTAAGAGTTCCAGTTTCTCCATATTATCACCAACAGTATGCTTTTTTTTTTTTCTTAGTATGTTCAGTGTGTTAATTGACTGATTGATTCCAGGGATTGAACCCAGAGGTGCTTAAACACTAAGCCACATCCCTAGCCTGTTTCTATTTTTTATTTTGAGACAGGATCTCCTAAGTTGCTCAGGGCCTCAGTAAATTGCTGAGGCTGCCTTTGAACTTTTGATCCTCCTTCCTCATCCTCTGGAGCCACTGGGATTATAGGCATGGGCTACTGTGCTTGGCTTGTTTTTATTTTAATATAGCCATTTTGCTAAGAATAAGGTATTATCCTAGTGTGTGTGTGTGTGTGTGTGTGTGTGTGTTTTCTTTTTCCTGTACGGGGGATCAAACCCAGGAACTGACCCCGTTAGGCAAGGGCTGTACTCTGAGGTATAACCCAAGCCCTGCTTTTCACTCTCTTGATAGTGTTCTTTGATGCGCAAAGGATTTTAATATTTATTTATTTATTTTGGAACTGAGGATTGAACCCAGGGTCCCTCTTCCATTGAGCTACATTCCCAACCCTTTTTATTTTTTATTTATTTTATTTTATTCATTTATTTTGAGACAAGGTCTCACTAAGTAGTCCAGGATGGTCTTGAACTTATGATCCTCCAGCCTCTTGAGTACCTGGCTTTATAGGTACATGCTTGACAAAAGTTTTAAATTTTGATGTAGTACACAATTGAACAACGTTTTTCTTTTGTTGTTTATGTTTTTGGTGTCACATCTAAGAATCCATTGTGAAATTTAAATTAATGGAGATTTATTCCTGTTTTCTTCTAAGAGTTTTATATATTTTTAGTTTTAATCCAGAAAACAAAAAATCAGAAATTTTAGGTTCTAATTAATTTTGAGTGAAATTTTTATGTGGTGTGAGATGGTAATTTAACTTCGTTCTTTTGCATTTGGAAATCCAGATAGCACAGTAATATTTGTTGAAGAAACTTTCTTTTTCCCTTGAGTGGACAGGTTCCCTTATCAAGAATCAACTGGGGGGCTTGGGGTTGGGGCTCAGTGGTAGAGTGCTCGCCTCGCATGTATGAGGCTTGGATCCTCAGCACCACATAAAAATAAATAAAATAAAGGTGTTGTGTCCATCTACAACTAAAAAAAAAATTAAGAAAAGGAAGAAAAAAATAATCAATTGGGGCTGTGGTGCTACTCATAATCACAAGGACTGGGGAGGCTGAGGCAGGAGGATGGAAAGCTGCAAGCCAGCCTTAGCAATTTAGTGAGCTCCTGTTTAAAAATAAAAAATAAAATGTGGGGGCTGGGGATGTGGCTCAAGCGGTAGCCCGCTCGCCTGGCATGCGTGCTGCCCGGGTTCGATCCTCAGCACCACATACAAACAAAGATGTTGTGTCCGCCAAATACTAAAAATAAATAAATAAATAAATATTTAAAAAAATAAATAAAAAATAAAATGTGTTGGGGATGCCATTTAGTGGTAGACTGCCCCAGGTTCAATCCCCACACCATACACACACACACACACACACACACACACTTGACATATGGGCTTATTTTGACTTTCAGTTCTGTTCCATTGTTCTATATGGTTCATTTAAAAAAAAAAATACTATTTTAGTTGTAGATGGACACAACACCTTTGCTGAGGTTGGTTTTGAACTCACCATCCTCCTGCCTCAGCCTCCCCAGGCACTTGGATTATTGGCATGTGCCAGGGTCCTGGCTCCTACAGATTTTATGGTCATGAAGATTTAGCCATATCTCCCTCAGTTTTGGGATGTGGTCTGTGAAAAGGGTCATAAAAGTCTCCCCTCAGGGTAACTTGGGTTCCTCTTGACATTATTCTGGGCCTGCATTTCTCCTACAGATAACAGGAGTTTTCTGAGGAATGTGACACAGCCTGACCAGGAAGGACTTCTTGGAAAAGAAAGCATGTGGTGGCGGGCACAGTGGGCCCATTTTATACAATTGTTCCCTTAACTTTGTACTCTCCCCTCTCACGTCTGAGGGGCACTTTATCACTGAGCTATATCCCCAGTCCTTTTTAATTAATTATTTTCTTTTGGAAACAGGCTCTTCCTAAATTGCTTGAGAGTCTAAATTGCTGAGGTTGGCCTGGGAGTTTGGATCCTCCTGCCTCAGCCTCCTAAATTGCTGATTCTACAGGCTACGGGTTTGCCCCTCGGGAACCCCCACCCCTCGCCCCAACTTCTAACTTATATTCTTCAGTTTTTCTTTCTTTCCTTTTGTAGAACTGCTTTCGCTAGACCTGCCAGTACCATGTCGAATAACAGCGGTGGAAGCAAATATCCTCCTTCATGACTTTTGCGTCATAACGACAAAGTTCCTTCATGTCCTAACTGGTTTGGAATTTCAGGGACTGTTCTAGATGTTCTAAGTTACTGGGGCTATGGAGAAGGAGTCCGTGGTGTCAACCTATGGTGGGCTGGTAAGCTGTGCGTGTAGGAAAGACGGTCCTAGTCTCCGTGCCGAGTCCCACCCTCCTTGAGCCCTTAAAATACTTTTATCTCCTGGTATCATCATCATTCAAGGAAGTCAAGCCGATCAGACGTTACAAGGATTCGTCCACGTTAGAACCAACGAATGTCAAAGCTGGTCCTCGTGGGGTTTTGCCAACAGGCCACTTAGACATATCGAAAATAGTGAAAACTTAAAAAAAATCGGGGCGACATCCAGGAGTTAGGGCAGGGGRACCTCCCAGCCTACTTCTCTCCCTGCACAGAGGCCACCTGCCCCGCTCCACCCACGCCCCGGTCGCGTGACTGCCCCATTCGCAGCCCTCCCATTGGCCGACCGTCACAGGGCCCCATGCTCATACGAGGGCCAGCAGCCAATCAGCGCGCCTCGTCCCCTCCCATCCCGCCGCGCTAGATGGCGTGTCTCCGAGCCTTCCGCGCGGCACGCCGGGAGTTGTAGTCCATGTTGGGTTTCTGCCCACAGTGACGGGACACCACGAACTACTTGACCCAGAGAGCCTAGCGCCGAGCGCGGCCGGATTTTAGGGATACCCCGCCAACCATCCAGATCAAACGAGACCTGGCGTCCCGGAGCAGGTGAGCGCGGTCGCGTGGAGGTGCTGGAGGTGCTGGAGGTGGAGGTCCGCTACCAGCCTCACCTCTAGCGATGCTGGGGTCACTGGAAGCCCAGCCTGTCGTGTCCGGAGCTTGACATTTTTGGGGTCGGTGGGCCCGACTGGCTGGCCTTCTGTGCTTGCGGAAACTTCCAAACTTTTGCCCGAAGCACCCAGTATGCCGGGGTCCGGGTTAATTTCTGCTGCCAGTCCTGCCCTCCTGGCCAGGGTTGCTCCCAGGCGCTCTGCGCAGTCTCAGCGCTTCTTCGAGACTCGGAACTTCCAGTTTCCGTGCTCCAGACCACATGTCCGCAGCATCCATGGTTCCAGCCCCAGTTCTCCCTTCCTTGGAGTTTAAGTTCAAAGTCGGGCCCTGCCACTGCCGGCAAAGGGAGACCTTGGCTGCGTTTGGCTGTGCTTCTACTGAGCTATTTCCCCTACCTYCTAGACCCTCAATTTGGCTTCTAGAATTACAGGGCGGTTTAAGGGTCCTCCTAGCCCCCAGTCCTGGGGTACTGTGTTCTGTACCGCCTCCTCCTCCAGTCTTGTCCTTATAGCCTTGAAGACACTCAATTTTAGCTGTCTTAACTTTAAGTAACCATCTGCTGGGGCTCAGTCACCCAAACATACTTTTTCTTTCTTTCATATCCTTTGTATAATTTCCCCCAAGTTTAGTCCACAAGAGGACGGGACATTCTGGGCCAGTAGCTAAAAAGTTGATTTGGGGATGATAGGGGGCGCGGCCACCATGCATCTGCCTTCGGTACTTGCCCCTGCAGGGAGTGCACAGTACCCCTCCCTATGCCACCTCCACCATGCCCCTGTCCCGCTGGCTGAGATCTGTGGGGGTCTTCCTGCTGCCAGCCCCCTGCTGGGCGCCCAGGGAGAGGTTTCTGGGTTACCTACGGMGGCCCTCCCTGGTGCACGGGTGCCCAGTCCTGGGGGCCTGGCACAGTGCCCGCTGCTGGTGCCAAGTGTGGACAGAGGAGCCTCGGTGAGTGTGGTTGGGGTGAAGGGCCTCGGGGAGGGGAGCACCTGAACAGGATCCTCATTTGTCCTTCCTCTTCTCAGAGCACTTTGCTCCTCTCTCAGAATGAACGGAGACCAGAAATCAGATGGTTATGCTCAGGAAAAGCAGGATTTCATCCAGCACTTCTCCCAGATAGTCAAGGTGCTGACTGAAGATGAGATGGGGCACCCAGAGACAGGAGATGCTATTGCTCGACTCAAGGAGGTGAGGGATTAATGACCTGAGGAAACAAGACCATTTGTCACTGCATATGTGTGGAATTTAGCTGGGGCTTACTGGGGCACTAGCAWTTGGGTTCATTTTGACAAAATTTTATACCTACAAGGAATTTGATTTCAATCCCTGTTCCCCCCTTGGGGACACTTCTGACAGATGTAGGAGGAGACTTTCACCTGGTTTGTGACTCAGGAGTGGGTGAGGCCTGGGCACATATATTTACTCAACCTGATTTTTGGCTCTGTAGAAAGTGGGCCATCCAAACTGYTTCACATAGGAGTGGAGGCCTTTAACCTGGTAAATCTTTGATTTTAGTGTCCTGAAATCATAAGATGCTGTTTTGGCAGACGAATGGGAGGAGGCAGTTTGAGGTGGTCTATATTCCCAGAGCCCTGATGGAAGTTCGGGTGTCMTCAGAAGCCTCTGTTCCAGCAGTGAACTATTGCTGTAATACTTAAGTTGCTTTTTTCCCCCCTTTCTTTTATTCTCTTTTTTTTTAAAGAGAGAGAGAATTTTAATATTTATTTTTTAGTTCTCGGTGGACACAACATCTTTGTTTGTACGTGGTGCTGAGGATCGAACCCGGGCYGCACGCATGCCAGGCGAGCGCGCCACCGCTTGAGCCACATCCCCAGCCCTCTTTTATTCTCTTGAAGTATCCAGTAAATTGGTTTTATAAATTGCTGTCTGTCTCATCTGTCTGAGGGGAACCAAGGGAAAGGGGAGGCTTTGTCGACGTTGGGATGGRGACTAAAAGAGAAGGCTCTCCTTTATTAACACTGGTTGAGAACGGGGCAGCAGAAGGCCCTGACAGGAAGAGACACGTTTGGAGGATTAGATGGATCCCACAACTTGGGTCCCGTCTGAGTTCTCGCTAACTTGGAGGGGCCTGGTCTTAAATACAGGATTTTCATTTGAAGATGCATTGAATTCTGGGCAGGAGGGTGTGGTTGGGAAAGCAACTATGGGTTGTGAAAGGGAAGTGGAGGGAGGTGGGATGGGGCGGGATCTGCATAGTTCAGCCATTCCCACAGTGGGCACTGTTTTCCCTGAGTCCTGGGCTTGGGGACAGAACTGAGCTCGCACCATACCTTTAGTCTTACTGGGGAAGACAATGCAGAGTGCAAAAGAAAGAAAGAAGCCCACTGGGGAGCTCTTCTCACTGTGCTCTGGGACTTTGGGACAGGTGTCAAGAAGTAGGAATCCGGGACTTCCTGGATTGGGAATTGGGATTGGAGAGGGTGAAGTTCAGTGGGTGGTTAGAAATGGAAGTTGCTCTTGCATGGACCCTAATGCCCTGTCCCTCTCCCTTGTCCCAGGTCCTGGAATATAATGCCATTGGAGGCAAGTACAACCGGGGTTTGACGGTGGTGGTAGCATTCCGGGAGCTGGCGGATCCAAGAAAACAGGATGCTGATAGTCTCCAGAGGGCCCTGACAGTGGGCTGGTGTGTGGAGCTGGTGAGAGGGGTGGGGGAAGGGCAGGAGAAGAAGAGGGTTCCTAGAGTTGGGGGGAGGGGAGGGATGAACCCAAAACTTGTTTCTGGTTTTTGTTTATATTTCCTGTTCCTAGTGTGGTGTAGCCAAATTTAGGCAGAGTGAATTACTTCAAGAGTTAGCTGGTTAACCAGTAAGGGCGACCTCTTGCCATTAGGTACATAGAATTTAGCRGAGAGGTGTTGGCTTTTTCCTCTGAGCAAAAGATAGCCATAAAAATGATATAGTCCTTCCAAAAGATTATTGTGAAGTATAAATTGAAAATCAGGGGCTGACTAATAGTTTTTGAAAATGTTTGCAACTTAAATCCCCTACATTTAACATAGCAGATACTTTGCTTAAAAACCCAGATTTTGAGCCGGGTTGTGGCTCAGTGCCTGAGCGCTTGCCTAGCGTGTGTGAGGCACTGGGTTCAATCCTCAGCACCACATAGAAATAAAATAAAGGTCCATTGATAACTAAAAAAATATTAAAAAAAAAAATCCCAGATTTCTTGCATTACTTGGAAGATCATGAGATCCAGGTCCGTGTTCACATATAGCAGCACCTGCTGAAGGCGCATCATGCTGCTTCCCCAAGACATGGTACATGCTCTCATGTGTGTGGCTCTGGTCTCCTTCCTTCCCTGCTTCTCCTTGCCTTCTGTACCCAGATATCCTGACCCTTGAAGGTGTGTGGTTGCTAGCCTGGCCTAGAGGCTTAATTTTAATTGGTGGCAGGGGGACTGGATTCCAATAACACCATCCAAGGTGTACTCCATATTCAGGTATTCCTAACTGTCTCCTAGATGTCCTTTATGGTTATTAAAAAATATATATATATATATATATATATACACATATATCCAGGCCCAGTCAAAGCTAATGCATTACAAAAACCAAAAACAAAAGAAACAAAACCCAAACTAACGTATTGCGTTTGGCAATTTTTTTTTCTTTCAGTCTTTACTTTTTTAATAGACTTTTAAAAAATATTTATTTTTTAGTTTTAGGTGGACACGGTGTCTTTATTTTACATTTATGTGGTGCTGAGGATCGAACCCAGTGCCTCATGTATGCTAGGCGAGCRCTATTCCACTGAGCCACAACCCCAGCCCCTTCTTTCAGTCTTTAGAGTAGAATAGTTCCTTTACCACAGTTGACTTTTCCCCTGAAGTCCAGGCTGACTATTTGGTAGAGTGGTGCCTAATCTAATTGGTGTCTGTGTGATCCTTTCCTTATGTATGAATTCTCCCTAGGGAGCTAACCCCCAGTGCTGAGGTCCTACCCCTATAGATGCTCATTTAAGTGATCTGGATGGGATCCACCACTATGATATTTGTAAAGTTCTGCAGATGGGGTTAGAATCATTGATGGAGGAGTAGATTGAGAGGGGCCACAGAATGAATTCCCTTGGAGACCTTGGTTGAATGGTGGTGGCTGAAMCAAAAATTGTCCTTGGGAAGAGGCAGTGGATGCATGACTCCAGAGAACCATGTCACTCCAAATAAATGCAGTGTAAATAAGGCTTCTGTCCCCAGTGTGTGTCTCCATTCTGCTCCCCTGGGGTAAGATCAGCATTAAAAGTTCAGATTGATGCCTCCTCCATGTGGGTCTTTCCAGGAACACCAGCAGTGACTGTAGGGGCCCACACCTGAGCTGAGGGGTGCTTCCTGTTTCCCCAACAGTGTGACCCGTCGGAGCACACAGGATCTGGATGGGGTAGAATTTTAAAAGCCGTATCTTATTATTTAATTATTTTTGCAGTACTGGGAATTGAAACCAGGGATGCTCTACTACAGAGCTACACCCTGAGCTCCTTATTTTTCATTTTGAGACAGGGTCTTGCTGAGTACCAAGGCTGGCCTCAAGGTTGTGATCCTCCTGCCTCAGCCTCTTGAGTTGCTGGCAGTACAGGTGTGCACCACTGTGTCATGGCAAAAACCATGTCTTGAAAAACTGCTTAAGAAATGAGTGGCCTGATTGCAAGAAGAATCATGGAGAGTTTCTTTCATTTGCTTAGCAGACTAGGAAGCACCCATTCTGAGGCTAGTGCTGTGCTAGGCTGTGGAAATGCCAAGAGGAAAAACATGTCCCAAGTCCAAGGAGTTTATGGTCTAGTTAGAAAACCAAGTCAGCTGGGCACATCAGTATGTGCTTGTAACCATCGTGACTGAAGCAGGGAGATGTCAAGTTTGAGGCAAGCACAGCGACTCAGACCCTTGTCTCAAAATAAAAATAAAAAAGGCCGGGCGCTGTGGCKCACATCATCCTAGCAGCTCGGGAGGCTGAGGCAGGAGGATTGCGAGTTTCAAGCCGGCCTCAGCAATTTTGAGGTCCTAAGCAACTCAGTGAGACCTGTCTCTAAATAGAACACAAAATAGGGCTGGGGGTGTGGCTCAGTGGTTGAGTGCCCCTGAGTTCAATCCGCTGTACCAAAAAATAAAACTAAAAAAGGACTGAAGATAGAGCTCTGTGGTAGCTCCCCTGGGTTAGAGCCCTATACTAACGAGAAAGAGAGGAAGGAGAGAGAAAACCAACAAGGTACCTTCAGGGGGCTGGCACTTAAAAGGGCAAGCCTTTTGCTGGTATTTAGGAGTGTTTCAGGTGTTTAATGGGTACAGATTATTAGGCAGATTTCAGTTCCATTCAGTTACACCTGTTCCCCTATATAAACGACACAGTAAGGCTGTGTCCCTCGTCACTAGGATGTTTGAATGGAATGTTGGCTGATGTAATAGTGTTCAGCCTTCTTTTAAGAGTCTTGGAGGTAGCTGTGTGCAGTGGCACAAATGTGTAATCCCAGTAACTTGGGAGGCTGAGGCAGGAGGATCACAAGTTCGAGGTCAGCCTTAGCAATTTAGTGAGGCCCTATGCAACTTAGAGACCCTGTCTCAAAATAAAAAATTAAACAATGGCTGGGTGTGTGGCTCAGTGGTTAAGTGCCCTTGGGTTCAGTCCCCAGTACCCAGGCAAGAGGATCAAAAGTTCAAGGTGAACTTTGGTGACTTAGGGAGACCCTGTCTCAAAATAGAAAATAACAAGGGCTGGGATGTGGCTCAGTGGTAGAGCGCCCTTGGGTTCAGTCACCAGTAGTGAGGAGGGGTAGAGTCAGGTAAAGGCAAGTTGCATGAAGAAATCTTTTTTTTTTTTTTTTACTTTTTTCTTTAAAGTTTGTTAATGTTTTTCATTGAGGAAGAGATCTTCCTTGGGCTGGGCTGTAGCCTCGCACCTGTGATGCACTGGGTTTGATCCTCAGCATCACATAAAAATAAATAAATAAAGATACTGTGTCCACCTACAACTAAAAAAATATATATTAAAAAAAAAAAAAGGGAGAGAGAAAGATCTTCCTTTAAGCATTCATTGAGATGTTTGGCACAAGGAGGAAGAGGAAGCATGAAGGTGTCTCATCAGCTCCAATGCCAGTGACAGTCGGAAAGGCTGGTTGAAGTTGTCAGAGATGTTTTCTGGACTCTTAACCCTGGAAACGAGAGTTTTAGTTCTGTGTTTTTAGGTGGGGAGTCTGAGCCAAAGAGGTCATGTAACTTCAAGGTCGTCTGTAACTGAAGTCCTCAGCCTCCCGACCTTGGTATCCCTTCCCAGCTCACAGTAACCGTCAGAAGCAGGAGCTGTGTCTCTGGTAGAAGGCACGTAAAGGGGTCTTAACTCTGTCCTTCCTTCCTTCCTTCCCCTAGCTGCAAGCTTTCTTCCTGGTGTCAGATGACATCATGGATGCATCCCTTACCCGCCGGGGACAGCTCTGCTGGTATCAGAAGGTGATGTGGGGGGAAGGTGGAAGTGGGCTTGGGGACAGGCCACAGGGAGGTGGTTATCCAGCCTGATTGAGGTAACCATTCTTGGTATGAATCAAGGTCAGAGATTCATTGCTCATTTTTCCTCTTTGCTCCTCACAGCCAGGCATAGGTTTGGATGCCATCAATGACTGTCTGCTTCTGGAAGCATGTGTCTACCGACTGCTGAAGTTCTACTGCCGGGATCAGCCCTACTATTTGAACTTGATTGAGCTATTCCTGCAGGTGTGCTGCAGCCTGGGACCCAGAGCGCAGAGGCTTCCCATAGTAGCCTTGGCCTCTGTAGGGATGTTCCCATATGCTGGTTTCAGGCACAGGAGATGCTTAGGGTTGCCTGGAAGGGGACAGGAAGGAAGAGGATTAGGGAGAAAGGAAAGGACTGTGTGCACGAGTGGGGGCCATGTGGGGGCCTGGAGTTTCTCTCTTTACTGCTGCCCTTGGGACTCTGCCAGAATGCAGGTTCTGGGCATGGGGTGTAGGGTTCAGCACATCAGGGTCCCCATATGTGGAGAAAATCTGGCTCACGGGCCATCTTCCTCTTAGAGTGCCTATCAGACGGAGATTGGGCAGACCCTGGACCTCATCACAGCCCCCCAGGGCAATGTGGATCTTGGCAGATACACTGAAAAGAGGTGAGGGCCAGAGGGGACCGTGTCTGGAGAATGAGGGAGGGCGGGGGGAGGGGGTTTGTCCTGAGGCCTCTATCTTCTCCTTCAGGTACAAATCCATTGTCAAGTACAAGACAGCTTTCTACTCCTTCTACCTGCCTATCGCTGCTGCCATGTACATGGTGAGTCAGCCTCACCCGCTCTTCCCCGCACTCGTGGGTATTGAGGCAGCAAGCCATAGACAAGGCACTTGGACAGTTGGTAGCCACACTGAATGACTGCAAGGCCTTGAGCAATCCAGTTACTCTCAGCTGCAAGATGGGGATAAGTTCCTGCCTCACAGGACTGTAAAGGTGAACTGAGGCCTTTGAAAGTGCTTGGCTCCTAATCRGGGAACTGTGAATCCCAAATAGGAGTTTGGACAGGACTGGGGAGGAGATAATTCAGGTAGGGAGGGAGGGAGAAGGCTGGATTCAAAGGCAGGTAGGATTCACAGTCTACCCTGAACTTGGTTCTCCAAGTTTTCTTTTCATCCTGAAAGAAGCTGGAGGTGGCAGAAAGGTTAGGAAGGGGAATCAGATGACTGAGACCGTGAAAGAGAATTTGTGGGCCTCCAAATTCTTCCCTGTTGTGACTAGTCAAAAATTAGTGGGATGGAGGTTGGTTCATTGGTCAGGAGAGACAACTTGGGGACCCAGTAGCAGGACCCCAGTGGAGGAAGTATCCCAGGAGGTGAAGGTAGTGAGGGTTCAGCTCATTGGTCCTCTTCCCTTGTAGGCAGGCATTGATGGGGAGAAGGAACATGCTAATGCCAAGAAGATCCTGATGCAGATGGGAGAGTTCTTCCAGATTCAGGTGGGCCTGAGGCAAGGGCAGAGTGGGGACCAGGCAGGTGTCCCACTGCCACACCAGCCTCTTCATTCCTCCTCTTCTGCCTCCTGCCCAGGATGATTACCTTGACCTCTTTGGCGACACCAGTGTGACAGGAAAACTTGGCACTGACATCCAGGACAACAAGTGCAGCTGGCTGGTGGTTCAGTGTCTGCAACGGGCCACTCCAGAACAGCGCCAGATCTTGCAGGTGCCAGAGAGGACCAGGGGTGCCCTGAACTGATAAGAAAGGGGATAGGACAGTGGTTCTTGAGGCACTTGTGTGTGTGTGTGTGTGTGTGTGTGTGCGTGTGTGTGCGTGTGTGTGTGCGTGTGCGTGCGTGTGCGCCTCCCGCCATTTGACAGTGCTAGCAGATTCTCTTATTATTGTAACTTGGTGAGTGTGCATGTGCTCTAGGTGTCTGCAGGGTGGAGGCCAGTGATGCTGCTGACCCTCATCAGACACTGCACAGAACAGCTCCCCAAATGAAATCACCTGGCCGCAGATTTCAGTTGTACCAAAATCAAATCCCCAGAACAGAGGAGACTGAGGCCTGAGACCAAACCCCAACATTTGGGATGGGGACAAGATGCTTGAAAATGGGAGGCAGGGGTAGAATGTGAATGAGTGAGTGGAGAGGCCTTGAGGCTCTGGGGAAGACAAAGCCCATTTTCCTGCTTCCAACCCCTTCCAGGACAATTATGGGCAGAAGGACCCCGAGAAGGTGGCCCAGGTGAGGGCACTGTACGAGGAGATGAATCTACCAGCTGTTTTCTCCAAGTATGAAGAAGACAGTTACATCCACCTTATGAGTCTCATTGAGCAGTATGCTGCGCCCCTGCCCCCCACCATCTTCCTGGGGCTGGTCAACAAGATCTATAAGCGGAAAAAGTGACCTAGAGACTGCCAGGGCAGGGAGGGAGGGCGGGCTCTCAATAAATTATTGTGTAATCTTCTGGTGGTTCTCTTCTTGCTGCAGCCGAGTGTGTCCGGAATGGGAATGGGCGTGGGCCGGTGGGGATGGGGGCGGCAAGGTAGYTCAACTGGTGGCAGATATTGTGGGTCATGGCTCAAGAACCCTTTGGGACTGAAAACCATGAGCAAGGTCTAAGTGGATGACACAGGCACGACGTCAAGGTCTGAGGGGTGGGTCTAAGCTACGCCACGCCCATGCGTGTATGGGTGCGGCTGCGCAGCGGAGTGGGTTGTCCTAGTGCCCCTCCCCTCTGCTGCCTACCCCGCYGGGCGGGGGACCGGGACCGCGGGAACCCCTGACCAGCCCAGGGCAGGAGCGGTTCCAGGAGGACCCTGGTGAGGAGGGCTTGGCCGCTGGGTGTGGATGGATCAATCGGGACACTKTGGGTGGGGCAGGAGAGGGAAGCAGGAAAAATGAATAGAGAAGGGGTGGGGTTCGGTGGGTGGTGGCTGGATGATGGAGAAGACTGCGAAGMGAATTGTGTGACACTGTTGTGAGCGGATAAGGGCACCAAAGCTGCAGGCTGCATTACCTTGAGGGGCAGCCTGCAGATGCAGAATTGACAGCTGACGGCGGCTCCCTCCTCCCGCTCCAACCTCTTCGCTTTACTGTATTAAGAAGCCAAACCCCGCGCCTGCTTCTCTCCATCCACTTCATTTCCGAATATCTGGGCGGGGTCCCCTTGGGCTCTTTCCTCTGGGAGTGAAGGGTAGGCTGGAGGGCAGGGCCAAATTGCTGCAGAAAGGATCCCTGGTCCGTCCTGGGCCCCATCCTCTTCCAAGCTCCCCCACGGAGATGCAGAGCGCAGCCGCATTATCTGACCCTCCCTCCTCTATTCCCGGGGGGTTACTTTCGACTCCACCTGCAAACACTGCAGTGGAAACTCATGGCCAGTCGATGCCGATTTGCATCTCATTTGAATATTTTCCAAAGCAGCCAGAGCCTCCCCAGGCCTGCTCCCGCCGTCAGTCACCTCCGTGTCCTTCTCATCGCCCTCACTGGCTGTCTTTCACCATCCACATCTTCTAGGTCTGCATCTGCGTTGCCAGGTAGGTGGACGTGAGAGGCCCTATTCTGGTTCTCTGGAGGCCATCTCATCGCCGCTGGCACCATGCTGTCCCCTCAGAGGGCTTTACTCTGCAATCTCAACCACATCCACCTCCAGCACGTCTCCCTGGGCCTGCACTTGTCTCGCCGTCCGGAGCTACGGGAGGGGCCTTTAAGCACGCCCCCTCCCCCAGGAGACACCGGGGGCAAGGAGAGCAGGGGCCCCTGCGGAGGGACCCTGGTGGATGCCAACTCCAACAGCCCAGCGGTGCCCTGCCGATGCTGCCAGGAGCATGGACCAAACCTAGAAAACCGGCTGGACCCATCTCAGGAGGAGGAAGGGGCTGCCTCTCCCTCAGACCCGGGCTGCTCCTCCTCTCTCAGCTCCTGTTCAGATCTGAGCCCCGATGAGTCCCCCGTTTCCGTCTACTCGAGGGACCTGCCTGGTGATGAGGATGCCCACCCTCAGCCCAGTATCGTCCCCTTGGAGCAGGGGTCCCCACTGGCTTCAGCAGGCCCTGGAGCCTGCTCCCCGGACAGCTTCTGCTGCTCTCCTGATTCCTGTTCCGGAGCCTCCTCCCCGCCCGGCCCTGGCCTGGACTCGAACTGCAACGCCCTGACCACCTGCCAGGACCTCCCTTCCTCCAGCCTGGAGGAGGAGGAGGAAGAGAGTGGGGAGCAGGACCTCCCCACCTCTGAGCTCTCGGAGGCGGAGGATGGGAAAATCGACGCTGGGAAAACGGAGCCCAGTTGGAAAATCAACCCCATTTGGAAAATCGACACAGAGAAAACGGAAGTTGGATGGAAAATCACTGATAACAATAACTCCGACTGGAAAACCAGCGGAAGCACTAACTCTAACTGGAAAGCTGAACCCGGAAAACTCGACCCCTGTTGGCACACCAGCACGGGAATAGCTGATTCTGGCCCGAAAGCAGATGCAGGGAAAACTGATGGGGGATGGAGAAGTGACGTCAGCGAGGAGCCAGTGCCCCACCGGACAATCACGTCCTTCCACGAGCTAGCCCAGAAGCGCAAGCGGGGCCCGGGGCTGCCCCTCACACCGCAGGCTAAGAAAGATCGCAGCGACTGGCTCATCGTCTTCTCGCCGGACACCGAACTCCCCCCCACCGGGTCGCTGGGTGGCTCCTCGGCACCTCCCCGAGAAGTCACCACCTTCAAGGAACTGCGCTCCAGAAGCCGCGCCCCGCCCCCGCCGGTCCCGCCKCGAGACCCCCCGGCTGGCTGGGCCTTGGTCCCGCCCCGCCCGCCACCCCCACCCGTGCCTCCCCGGCGGAAGAAGAATCGACCCGGGCTGCAGCCCATAGCGGAGGGGCAGCTCGAGGAAGGCAGGGCGGTCAGCCCGGCGGCTGGTGAGGAGGCCCCAACCCCGAAGGAGCCGGAGCAGCCCGGAGCCCCAGCGGGCCTCGAGGGTAAGAGGCCGCCGAGGCAGCGGGAGGAGGGCTGGGCTTTAGCCTCGCCCACGCCTCCGAAGCTTCCAACCCCGCCCCCGTCTCCCCTCCATTCTGTGTCACCCACCCTCCCCGCCCCTTTATCAGCGAGCGCTCCGGGAAAGGGAAACTGGATGGGTCACTGGGTTACGGGACTAACTCTTTGCTCCCTCTTTCTCCCGCTCCTTGCCTGGCTGTCCATCCCGCTCCCCTTCTTCCCCTCTGCGCCTGCCCCGCCAATCCCGCCTGCAGCCGGTCCCCTGGTGCTCCCTCGGCCCCTGGTTTTTCGGTTCTCGGCCGACGGGCGCCCCCTGTTGGAGGGTGGGGGTGCCGGCGCAGCTGGGTCCCTGCTCCTGGCGCCCCTGGCCGAGTGGCCGGGCACCGGGCTGCGGCTGCTGGGGGCGCCAAGTCCCCCAGCGGAGCAGCTGCTGCCTGTCCGCCTGTCCCCAGTGGGAGCCTATTCGCCTCCGACTCGGGGGGCCCTGCCCTGCCTGGCCAGCCCCGAGCTGGCACTGCTGCTGTCCCCGCTCTTTCCCAGAAGTAGCACCTTTCCCGCCGCGGCTCCCCCGCCCCGCCAGGTACCCGCCCCTTCGCTGCCACCACCACCTCGTCCGCCGAAGGCCTCTCGCTGGACCAGAAGCCCACCGCCTCCGCCCAGGCTACGTAAGACGGACCCGGGCGAGCCCCGCGGGCCACGCCTCGGCGGGCTGCCTGCCCACTCCAGCCCTCCCACCCGCCCAGCCCGTAGTGTGGCTTTCCCCGGGGATTCAGCGGTGCCATCCTTCAACTGGGGCCGGTTCCGAGCGAGTCCGCCAGAGCTGGTCTCGCTGCTCGCGCTGTGGGGTGGCGAGGCGGGTTGCGCTGCCCCGGCTTCACAGGACCCTGCGCGGGCGGCCTTCCCCRGCCTGTCTGCTCGGTCGGGGTCCCAGCAAGTCCCTGTCAGGGATCTCGGGTCACACCTGTGTGGAATTCTGCGGCCCACGTAGTCTGACACCTCCCTGCCTAGATCCGGGAGGGTGGAGGGCGAAACTCCCTGGAGCCCACTGGCCCCGGAGGTTCTGGTCACTCCTTTCCCAGTCCCGTCCCTGGGATGCGGGGAGCGCGGTCCGCCAAGCTGGCTTGGGACCCGGGTTTCCCTTTCCCGGCGCCTTCGCCCTCCAGCCTCCCGGTCTCGGGGTCTCACCTCCCCGTTTCTCCTCCCTTTCCCGTCTGTCTTTTCATTGGCTCAGGCTCCCCACGTGTTCCCCGGGCCGGCTGGCCTGAGGCGGGACGCAGGGCAGCCCCTCCTGTCCCTCGCCTAGTCACCTCTCGCCCCACAGGACCCAGACGGCTGGGCGGGGCTTTAGCGCGGCGTCCCACTCGGGGACTTCCTGGACAGAGGAGGTGGGAGCTGGGGCCTGAGGGCAGGAAATAGGAGCCGAGGTGGGGGACAGCGAGAGCCGGCTTCTGTGCAGGATTTCGCTGGGGGGGGGGGGKCGGGTAGAGCCGCTCCTTGTGGCCCTGTTACTTCTCTCCCCAAAACCTTTCATGGGCAGGGTCTCTGCAGAGCCGCAGGAGATGACCGTGGCAGAAGCCCGGCGTCCTTGGGGGTAACCCTTAGTAAGCGTCATTTCGTCCTTCTTCCTTTACCCAGTTCGTAGTTCCTGGTCGTTCGCGGGTGTTCCTGGGGCCCAGCGGCTGTGGATGGCAGAAGCCCAKAGTGGGACTGGGCAGCTGCAGGAGCAGAAAAAAGGTAGGCTGCCCTGAGTCCGGACCCCTGGCTTACTGAAGGAATCGCTCTTCACTTTGCATTCCTCAGGCTTTAAGAGTCAAATTGCATAAACCAGCTTCTCCGTGCCCTCTGGCTATGCCCAGGATAGAGGGCAGGGCTTTGATAGAGCTTCCCTTCCTTATCCCCTCCCAGGTCTCCTGATAGCTGTCAGTGCCTCAGTGGATAAAATCATCTCGCACTTCGGGGCTGCCCGGAACCTGGTTCAGAAGGTGAAGGTGGCTGGAGGAGGATGTTGGGGACGTGGAGATTAATGTAGCTCTGGGGGCACAACAAGACAGAGGGTGGCGGTGGTGACTGGATCCCTATCTGGACTGACTCGAGTTGTGCCACCTCCAGGCCCAGTTGGGGGATAGCAGGTTGAGCCCGGATGTGGGGCACCTGGTGCTGACCACCCTCTGCCCAGCCCTGCATGCCCTGGTGGCAGACGGGCTGAAGCCTTTCCGGAAAGACCTCATCACCGGGCAGCGTAGAAGCAGTCCTTGGAGTGTGGTGGAGGCATCTGTGAAGCCAGGTGAGAGGGGAGGGCAGGGGACCCAGCAGAGCAGGGCCAGGACCTGGCTGACCACGCCCCCTGCCCCCAGGCTCGAGCAGTTCCCTGGGGTCCCTGTACAGCCAAGTCAGCCGTTTGGCCCCGCTGAGCAGCAGCCGCAGCCGCTTTCATGCCTTCATCTTGGGCCTCCTCAAGTGAGTAGTAGCCTTCTTCCCACTGCCTCTCCTGGCCCTGGGACCACTGGGCATCATGTGTGGGACACAGTAGTGTCCCCTGTCCTTGGAGAAGGCCTCCCCTCCCTCAATTTCGTTCCCATCCTCTGCCCCAAGAGGACCAGAGTCCTCCATCTCCCTGAATTTGCATTCCTTTTTTCTTCTCCCCCAGCACCAAGCAGTTGGAGCTGTGGTTTTCCAGTCTCCAGGAAGATGCAGGTCAGAGGCTCAGATGGGAGTGGATAGGGTTTCCGGCCTAGAAGGGAGGGAGGGAAAGTGTTTCTCCAGTTGGTTTCCACTGTTACCAGAATATTAATCCAGATCTCTGATATTATTATTAGCCTTTTGCTTAAAACTTCCAGGGGATCTTATTGCCCATGTGAGGAAAGATTCAAAGCAGGGAAGCAGGGCTTTCTAATCATCAGTCTTCCTGGGTGGTCCTTCTGGCCCCAGGGCCCTACTTTGATGCTATCCTTCCCTCTAGAAACCTGCCTCTGCCCCTTCAGTTTCCTCCTAACTCTTTCATCCTGTGGGTCCTTCCTCAGTGAGGTTCCACCTCTGTGCCTTGTTTTGTGGATGCTCCAAAAGCTCTCCTGTGCTTCACCTTTCTAGTCTCTAGACTGTTAATTTGTTACCTCCACTTGATCTACATGCCTCTCCCTCTGGAGGCCATGGTTCCACATGGGTAGGGAAACGTCCAGCTGTCCCCCTCTCCGACTCAGAGTGAGGCCTGGGAGGATGTTTGGGTACAGGGCAGGGGCTGATGTTGGCTTTCTCTTTCTCAGGCCTGTTGTCCCTTCTGTATCTGCCCACGGGATTCTTCTCCCTGGCGCGGGGTGGCTGCCCATCCCTGTCCACAGAGTTGCTGCTCCTGCTGCAGCCATTGTCGGTGCTCACCTTCCACCTGGACCTGCTCTTTGAGCACCACCACCACCTGCCCCTGGGCCAGCCTCAGGCCCCTGCCCCTCCAGGCCCGCCTCCAGCCTTGCAGCAGACTGTACAAGCCGTGCTGCACTGGGGGGGCCGGCTGGCCCAGAGTCTCCGGGGCACTTCTGGGGAGGGGGCTCCCAACCCTTCACCCCCTCCAAGTCCTCCCACACCAGTCAGCTGGTGGGAGCATCTGACCCAGGTCTCCTGAGTCTATGCCTCAGGGGGCACTGAGGACTTCCCTCTTCCCTGGTGAGGATCTGGGCAACAAGAAACTGCAGCTGAGGGTACACAGGAAAGACCTCTGCCTGCAGAGGAAGTGGCACCAGGCAGAAGTGTGTGGCTTGGGAGACTGTTTGGCGTGCCTGGGGTCCCCACAGAAACTGAGAATGGAGCCTTAAAATCCAGGTATTGGGGTACCTTGTCTGCTCTGTGACCTTCTGATCCCCTCAAGTGTCTCATTTGAAACTCCCTAGTGCTGGGCACGGAGGTGCATGCCCATAATCCCAGCATCTTGGAAGGCTGAGGCAGGAAGACTGCAGCCTCGCATTGCTGAGACTCTGTCTCAAAATAAAAATGGCTAGGGATGTAGCTCCATCTTAGAGAGCCCTGGGTTCAAACCCCAGAACCACAAAACAAAAACTTCCCAAAATCTATGACTCCAGATGCTTTAGAYGAGACTGGCTTTTTTAATGCCCTTGGAACTAAAAATAGTTATATTCTTAAGTAGTTATATTTTAATGGTTGTGAGTGCCTAAATAGTGATCTTGATTTTACCTCTTGGTCCTCATGGCCCTCAGCCTAAAATATTTACTATCTGGCCCTTTAGAAAAGGAAAAATATTTGCTGATTCCTGTTTTGGGGCTTGACCATTGGTGGATCTTTTGTGGCTTCAAGTACTGTCCACGGAATCTCTCTCTTGAACTGGTATAGACCCTGCTGGTTTCATAGGTTCTTGTGAATTTTGGTGTTGCATACCTTTGTTGTCATTTCCCTAATCACTTCAAAGGTACTTGTGTCCCACAGCTGCCACTTCTTTTAGCAATGACCAGCTCCTGACCTATTTGGGGCCTCAGCCTCTTTCTCCTTCCAAACCTCTGGGTTCTTGCATTCTTTTTCTGGAAGTGGACTGACTTCTGTGATCCTATGTCCTTCCCTCCAGGAGACCATCCAGTTGGCTGCCTCCAACAGTGAGTGTGTTGGCTCTTGTGAAGCGGGGAGCACCTGTAGAGACTCCTTCTCCAGAGGAGCTTGTGGCCTCAGTGCCCAGCATGGCACAGGCCCACAGGTAAGAACTAGGGAAATACACCTGTGTGTACTGTTAATACAGGTGTGTTTCTGTGGTCATAGAGTGGACGGTAGGCATGAAAAAGACTTTGGACTTTGAGATCATAGTGCTTATTTTGCATTGCATCTTTGCTATTTATTACCAGTGTGGCTCTAATTTCTGAGTCTTAGTTTCTTTCTTTGTAAAAGGAAGATAACTTGTAACCTTTGCTATGGTTGCTATGAAGATTAAATATAATTTTATAAAACATCTGGCACACAGTAGGTGTGTGTACACTAAGGGATTGTTTGTCTATTAACTGGGGTGTTCTAATTTGGCATCAGAGACTACTACTACTTTGAGGTCTTTTGGGTTCTCTCAGYCCATTGAATTAACCTTAATTTTTTATTCAGCAATATTTTGGAGGGTACAATTTTTGGGGTTCTGGAGACCAAATCCAGGGATGCTCTACCACTGAGCTATATCCTCAGTCCTTTTTATTTTGAGATGGGGTCTCCCTAAGTTGTTGAGACTGGCCTCAAATTTGCAGTCCTCCTGCTGCAGCCTCCTAAGTAACTGGGATTATAGGTGTGCACCACTGCACCCAACTTGGGTACACCTATATGTCAGTCATGCTAAGCAAGGGAATACAAAAGTGGGACTATTGTAGTCCCTGCTCTCAAAGGGCATGCAGTCCAGTGGAGATACCAATGAACAGATGAGCAATTGCAGTTTAGTATGGTAAAGACTAGGAAAGGAAGAACAAGCTGTTTGCAGCCATGTCCCCAGACTTGGGAACACKAGGGAAGCTCAGTGATGGTGTGAGGATATGCATTTGGCAGGAAAAACAGGAGACGAAAGTGGAGAGGCCCATTTGTGTAAGGAATAGTGGGTGCATAATGGAGGGGGTCAGTGGGCCAGCTAAGGAGGCTGGGTTTTATTAAGACATCCTGGGAGCCCTTGAARGATCTGAAGCCTGGAAATGATGTGCTTGCTCAGGTTTTAGAAAGGTCTCTTACTGCTGTGTGGAGATTGGGGCTAGTGGGGAGGTCAAGAGAGACTCACGAAGACTGGCTGGTGATATGTAGTGGTACAGAGAGACCATAAAGGCCTAAACTAGGATGGTGGCGGTAGGATTGAAGAGAAAGAATAGCTGGCATAGTAGGAGATAAACACCAAACAAGTTTTGGTGATGGACTGGATGCGAGGAGTGAAATGATCACATTTTTGCCAGGAGCAAATGAGTAGGAAGTTGTGCCACTATGAGGGACTGGTTTGAATTTCGTTGGCCTATGTTGAATATGAAGCACCAGAAAGAAGTGCAAGTCATGTCAAGTAAGAGTGGGTTTGGTGCTCAAGAGGGGCTAGGGTCACAGGGAGAATCAACATATTGATGTGTAGTCCCCAAGTGTCTTCAGGGTTTTCAGAGCTGAACCAGCAGGGGCACTCCATACAGTAGAGAGTAAGAGCCAGGCACAGTGGCGCACGCCTGTAATGAGGCTGAAGCAGGCAGATTGTGAGTTCAAAGCCAGCCTCAGCAACTCAGCAAGACCTTGTCTCTAAATAAAATACAAAAAAGGGCTGGGATGTGGTTCAGTGGTTAAGCACCTCTGGGTTCAATTCCTGGTACCAAAACAAACAAAAATAAACTAAAACCCAGACTCCCAAACCAAAACTACCACCAAACAACATAAACAAAAACCAAAACTAAAAAAACAAAAAACAACCCCCAACACCACAGGGAATGAGGGTGGAGAACCAGGTACCACACCTCTCTCTCCCATTGTTTTCTTCTGGCTCCAGTAGGGCAGTTCGGGCTCTCTGTGACCACACTGCTGCAGGACCTGACCAGCTAAGCTTCCGGCGTGGAGAAGTGCTGCGTGTCATCGCCACAGTGGATGAGGACTGGCTCCGCTGTGGGCGGGATGGCACGGAAGGGTTGGTGCCGGTGGGATATACCTCCCTTGTTCTCTAGCCCTGGCTTTCCTTTCCTGTGTATGTCACCATTTTGTCACCTGGGAAGGGAACAGCTCATGAACACTATGTAAAATGACCATACCAAAAGCCTTTTTCTTGTCTGCAAAATGATATTTCTTCCCACATCATTTCTGCTAATATTTAAAATAAACTTTCCTTCTTCCCTCCATGCCCATTTGTAAGGTGAAACCTGCTCTTCCAAATATTGAAGAGGAATCCCCTCCCATGAAACCCCTCTCCTCTTTCCCATCTGTATAAGGGAACATCTCCTTACTATCTGTAAAATGGAACCTAGCCCCCTTCTCCATCCCAAGTGGACTGTGCCAGTACAGGATATGCTGTGGTCCTCAAGCCTAGAAGGGCCACTGGTCTCCTACCTGTGTATTCTTTCCGTCCCATGCTGCCTGTATTTATGATGTACTCATGCTGTGCTAGGTGCTGAATTGAAGCCTGGACACCCCTGGTGGGTGGGCCTTTGGTATTGGTCTGACTCTTTCCTCCTTTGTCCCAATAAAGAGTGGGAGTTGAATGTGTGTGTGTCACTGTGGGTTTCAGGACATAGGGTGTGGGGGAGGGAGAGAGGTGCTCTTACCAGAGGCTGAAGGCAGATACTTCTTTCCTAGTTCAACTGCAGATCTTAATGTTCTCTGAGGAATGGGTAAGTGGCCCYGTTTGGTGCTTGGAATCACACACTTCAGTTCATAACTGAAGTAAATATAGGGGAAAAGGGAAGACTTAGGCCTTGAAATATTACTTATTAGATTCATATCTGAGATGAAGGAAAGAATTAAAGGCTTTTAAGAAGTGACCTTTTGGGGTTGGGGATGTGGCTCAAGTGGTAGCGCGCTCGCCTGGCATGCGTGCGGCCCGGGTTCGATCCTCAGCACCACGTACAGACAAAGATGTTGTGTCCACCGATAACTAGAACATAAATATTAAAAAATAAATAAATAAATAAATAAACAAACAAACAAACAAATAAATAAATTTGAAACAGGGCCTTACTACATTACCTAGAGTGGCTGGCTTTGGACTTGTGATCCTCCTGCCTCAGCCTCCAGAGCCACTGGGATTACAGGTGTGTGTCACCACACCTGGCCTGACTTCAAAATTAATTCCCTCCACACTAGATTGTGATATTTATCCAAAGGGCTGAATGTATTTAGTGGTGAAATTTCAGACTTCTTGACAAACTGAAAGTGTTCAGGAAGACACTTAGGGTAAGGGAGAGGGAATCCTTCCACAGCAATTTGGTAAAATGTATAGCCCGCCCTTGGCTGGTTGGCATGGCCTCTAGTTTAAGCAGCATCCTACAAATGCTGAATGCACAGGTGAAAGTGGAAAGAAACTGCTCTTTTAGACTTCTCTTTCTCCCCAAAACTCTCCCCACAATCCCCTTCCCTGTCTATAAAATTTCCTATAGGGGTTCTGTAAAAGAATCCAAAGCTTCTGGCTTGGAAACAGGTTGTTGTTACTGTGTATGGGTGGGTTGCACCCCATCCATCCACCCCTGGTTCTGTGTATAGTTGGGGGACTATCCCATTTGTGTGTCTCAGAGCTCTAAAGAGACTGATACCTGACTCAAAGCAGGGTTGTGAGGAATAAGTATAGTCATGTAAAGAAAACACCAGTGTCTGGTACATGGTGAAAGGCCAATGATGTTAATTCTTGCTATTGTTATTGGCAATTCCTTCTGATGGAAGCTATCTTTCAGGATGTGGGCATCATAAGAGATATTCACAAATATTCCCAGTATGAGGTAGGATTGTACTTCCTTGCCCCCACTCTCTTGAGGTTATGCAAGGCCACATGAACTCCTTTGATCAATAAATGAGCAGAAATGTGTACACTGCTAAGCTAGAGAATTTAACTGCTGGTGGGAGACTTTCCAGAGCTCTCTTTCCCTCTGCACATGTCAATGACAAGTGATGCTTTTTCAGCCTGGGGTTCAAAAGGAGAGAAGAACAATAAGCATAGTGCCCCCAATTGATCCTCCGTGGGCAGGTAATATAAGCAAGAAA